TTTCCCCTTTATTAATGCTTAAGTGACTAACTCTGAATTCCTTAACTGTAGGCTGTGGTAGTTCAATAAAGTCTTGATGCCTCTCCAGCAATATGTACATGCAAACAGAATGCAGGGAGTCCCTGCAGCAAGAAAGGTAAAGAAAATTAAAAAAGGAAAAAACCCCAACACACTTTGTTATACAGAGAAGAAAGGCAACACCAAAGCCGAGTGCAAGAGAAACCATTTGAACAGTCCCACCACCACAAAACACACCCTTCTGCTTCTGAAGCAGGTTCCAAAGACCAAACTCCACAGCATGTCGGACAAGATCAGGACATAAATAAATAATGCATGTTCTCCATCACAGAGATTTTAATTTATCCTATCAACGTGAGTTAATTAATAATTAAAAAGGGCACTGTGATCCTCATGTGGGAGGTCCTATAAAATGAAAATTCAAGCAGTTCAAGATGCAGTAGATTGCTGTCTATTAAAAAACATGTTAAGGGATTTAGCGTATTACTATTTTAATTATGTTTTAAGCAGCAAGATTTTTACGTGCATTTAAGCATTATAACATGGCATTTGCAATCCAAACATTGCAGGATTAAGTCCCATCAAGTACAGCAAAACCAGGGGAAGTAACTGATTATAAACACAAATAAAACTAATGGAGATGTCTTTTATGAAATGCTAAGGCTAAGCAAAAGCACTACTTATATTTCTGTTTCTCTCATCCAAGCTTATTTTAATAATTCAGTTAAATTTAAATTTTTAACTATATAACTTTCACCACAGCCCTTCCCTTTTAAAATTACTTGAAATTTAAATAACTTAATTGCTTTTACACATACAAAACTATTGCTGTTCCTCAGAACAAAAGACACTGGAGTTTTCAGCATAATGCACCCATATCTGTCCTGAACACGCAAACCTAAGTGAGTAAACTGGTAAAGTCAACATGTTTCTCTGCAACAGGACAATGTCAGAAATTCTGCCCGTGGACACATACACTTTTGATTAAAAAGTTAATTTTATTTTTGGACATTTGAACTACCTCAGAGTAGAATTAGCTTAATAACCATGGTCTTCATAAATTATGGTGAACGGAGTGTTCAAGCTATTTGTTGGCTGAATGCATGCTGCTTTTTCTGAACACACCATTTACGAGGCTTTTAACTGACTCAGATTTTAGCATTAGGAAGTTTTTAGTAATAAAAAATGCTCAACAGAGTAGCTATCATGAAAGACCCTCTCTAGGAAGCTGTATAATTCCTGTTACTTTAAACTTTTGAAATTAGGAGGAAATCCTAAGAGGAAACAGTTTTGTATGTGCATTACTTGATCTAAATATGTATTTTCAGCTTGATCCATTGAAAACAATTAACTCTGACCAAAAGTCAGTCACCATTAAACTACAGTAGTTGGTATTTTATGGAGAACTGGATGACTTGGGCGAGGTTCTAAAGGAATTGATGGAAAAACTGATAGACAAAATAAATCAGCTCTTTGGGATTTCAGACAGCTAGAATTTGGGTGGTCCTAGTTCCCCACCCTGAGATGGTGATCTTCTGACTCTGCATCTTCTCTTGACTCTTCCATGTGGAGAAGTCTGGTATCATCATCCTTTTCACATTAGTTTTGTTTGATGCTAACTATGCTGTCTGAACTTCATCTTGTTTCAAGGCAAACATTGGGTTTGCTCTATGACAGATCACTTTAAAAATTCAAGTGGACAGGCATTTTTAATTAGAGTCAAAACAAAGTCAAATAAGGCTGAAATAAACTGCATTCTGGTCTAGCACAACATTAGCCCTTAAATAAATAGTGAGAAGCCTGGGCTGTCTCTGTACAGCAGATGGCATTACAGGTAATATTTATCATACTCCAATCCCAAGGCTAAGATAGTAGGGAGGGAGGATTGACATCAGCTACAAGTGAATCAGTCTTAATACAAGCTGAAAAACTGCTTGTGCCTTCAACAGTTGATTACATTGTACGGCACTTCTGCTTAGCGCTCCCCATTGCATTTATTAGTCTGTCTGAGCAAGCCTAGCAGGAAGAATTCATTTTGTTTTGCAGCTTAAATGAACTGATGTAAATGGATCTTGGACTTTGAGGTGGGAAGATTCCACCCAGCTGCAGTAACCAGGGGGATGCCCTTTGCCCCAGATTTTGTGCCAAATTTGTGCATTTGAGAATTTTAAACAAATATCACTTGGCAGGATATCGACCCTCAGGGTACAAGAATAATACTGAGTGAGACAGCAGGGCATGTACGGGGAGGGATATACAGGGAGATCTATCAGGACTGATACTGAACTGTGGGGAAAACCAATTCTGCCCTATTTCATTAAAAATGGTTGTTGTTTGTCTCACAGGAGCCAAGTGATCCTCTGAATGAAAACCAACAGCAATTTTTCATCCGGGTGCAGTGTCATCACACAGGAGTGAAAGAGTTCAGCGAAGGTTACTAATTATCAGGTAAATGATGTAGTCTTCCTTGGCTGTCTGGGCAAGCCTGGGTGGGTGACCAGGGATGGAGGGAGTATGAACTGCTCATGGTAAGCCCTGGCTTGGGAGCCTGTACCGAAACATGGAGTCACGCTCTGCCAAGTGTGTTGCCTTGCACTCACACCGAGTTTCTCGATCTGTGAGCCATGGCTGATTGGCAAAGCGGTCCAGAGAGAGTCCCGTTGAGCTCTTGGAAACACATTGTGTTGATGAGGCACGGGGAACTCCGGTTTAGTGGGAAGTGTGGTGGGGGATCACGGGCTGAGAAACAACGCAAACCCAGCCAGTGTATGACAGATCCCCTTGCACTCACCAGAGCTGCCTGAGGGCACCCTGGCACTACAGGCAGTATTGAAATCTGCTGCGATAAAGAAACAGGGCTTAGGCCAGGCTGGACTTACCCTAACAAGGACCTGGGCCAGAAGAAGGAAGAATGAGACCGAGGGGAGGG